ACACACACACACACTCACTCACTCTCTCTCACACACACACACAAACTCTCTCACTCCCTCACACACACACTCACTCTCTCTCACACACACACACAAACTCTCTCACACTCACTCTCTCACACACACTCACTCTCTCTCTCACACACTCTCTCACTCCCTCTCACACACTCTCTCTCTCACACACACACACTCACTCACTCTCTCACACACACACACACTCTCTCTCACACACACACACACACACTCACTCACTCACTCTCTCACACTCTCTCACTCCCTCACACACACACTCGCTCTCACACACATGCAATTATTGCATTAGAAAGCTTTGCTTCTGTCTAATGGCTTTGGCTGCTGCTTCAATATCCTAAACATTATTTCTGCGTTTGTTACATGATGTTACTAATTCCTGTAATTAACAGTAATGACTGCATCGCTCTCATTATGATGGCTTGAGCTTCATATGAAATGGCGCAGGTTTTAGAGGTAATTACTCCTCATCTGCACTACAGTGCGCTGTTTGCTGTCATCTGTGCGTTTGCTAAATTGGAAAATTGTCTTCCTCGTCCAGCTGCTGCATTCTTCCGTCACGTGACGCAGCGTGACCCGCCGCTGACCTCAGCCCCTCGCTCTTCCTTCGGCTTGCTCTACTTATCAGGCGTCGCCACAGCGGAGTGCGCTCATGTACTCCTGAAGTCTCGACAAAAGCGCACGAGTATTAGTCGACATGTTTTCTACTCATTAGTGCGCACGAACGGGTTTGACAGACGACTGGCCTTCCCGCCTGACCGTCATCAGTCAGCTGACCGGAGACGATGACGTCGCAGCAGGGGGCGGAGCTTTGTTGACTGACAGCTACCAAACCACGAGCTGCTTCCAGCGACATGCTCTTCATCGGATTTTTGTTCGTTTTTGGAACTTTTTCTTGTTTGTTTCAATATTCGAGTCAGTAGAAGTCAGTACTTTCATCTGTAATTCATTCATTCTAGTCAACATTCAGGTTATCGTTTTTATTTTTTGATGTGCAAAACAGTATTAACATGCATCATCTGGATCATTTGAAGCAGTTCATTCTATATTTTTATACTTTGCCCATCTTTTTTCTTGTCATATCTTCAACACTATATACAGTATTAGTTGAAATGGTCAATCATCTTTTTTTGGCAGTAGTTTTTTTCCTGAAGGCATCTCATCCAATCAGAGAGCAGCCAGAGCTGCTTTATAAAGTACCTCAGCAGCAAGAGTCAGAGAGCCTTCAACATCATTATTTCCATTTTAATTTCTCAGGACAAACATGATAATCAAACTAATACAGCAAAATTCTATTTTTAAATATATCTCAAAATATACAAACAAAATGACCCAAAATATATTAATGTAAATTTATATCTAACAATATATTTTT